AATGAATGAATCATGGAAAGACAGAAAGATAAGATCAAATCTGGTTCATCTGCATTTTTATATTTCACCTTTTCAACATTTCATCATTTCGTCATTGAAACTTGGTCATACGTGTATTGTTAAATTGGGTTTCTTTGTAAAATCATTTACATGTTTGGTATCTGTACAATGTGTGTATTCAAATTAATAATTTTTTAAAATAATCTTTTGGATTACAGTTTGTTTGGGATATACATTCTGTGAGCTGAAAAATAGAAACCTCGTTACAGTAAAGTGCAATTCAGTACAGCAGCCCAGTAATAATCTTGTTTTTGTGCAGCTTCTAATATTTAGTTAGTGTTTACACACATTTACATTCCACCCAATACCATACAACAGTTACATTATGCCGATGTGTCACAGCTCTGCCCCTTCTCTCCTGTCTTTTTATTTCTCACTCACCTATCAACTCATTCAGTGCACCTGTTAGCCTCCCTCATCATCAGCCTAACTCCCTTCACCTGCCTCTGTTCACTAATCAAGCACTCCCTCCTCATCAGCACAACTCCTCTCACCTGCCTCTATCAGCCACTATATAAACCCCTGCCTCTCAGTCACTCACTGCCAGATCATTGTCATGTCTACCTGCCCGTTTGGTTCGTCCTTTGCCCCGGTTTGCCCCGGTTTGCCCCGGTTTGCCCGCCCTGTCTCGGTTCTGCTGGATTTTTCCCCTCGTCCGTGGATTCACTGTTCCTGTAAGTTTCATGTTCTGATTTAAGTGTTCATTAAATTCCCACTTCACTCTACTTCTGGTCTGGTCTGCTTTTGAGTCCTCCATCATGCCCCATGACTCAATGACACCCAGCTGGTCTTGTCATTTCCCCCCGGTGACACTCAAGTGGAGGCACGCATCGCTGCATGCTTGGCTGACATCTCAAAGTGGATGACGACACACCACCTGAAGCTCAACCTGGACAAAACCGAGCTACTGTTCCTCCCGGGGAAGGGTTGCCTGCACCGAGACCTGTCCATCACCATTGATACCGTGGTGACGCCAACTCGGACTGCGAGTAACCTGGGTGTGACCCTGGACGACCAACTGTCATTCTCAGCAAATATTGCATCGGTTACATGCTCCTGCAGATTCCTGCTCTACAACATCAGGAGGATTCGCCCCTTCCTCACTGATAAGACGGTGCAGGTGCTCATCCAGGCTCTTGTCATCTCCCGCCTGGACTACTGCAACTCACTACTTGCCGGAGCCCCGGCGTCGGCCATCAGACCTCTGGAGCTTGTCCAGAAAGCTGCAGCTCGTCTGGTGATCAATCACCCCAAGTTCTCCCACACAACTTGCCTTCTCCGTTCTCTACACTGGCTCCCTGTAAGAGCTCACATCCAGTTTAAGACTCTGGTGCTAGCCTACAGGGCAGTGAAAGGAACAGCTCCTTCCTATCTCCAGGCCATGGTCAAACCCTACACCCCCGCCCGATCACTTCGCTTTGTTGCCCCGTCGCTCAGAGGTCCCTGCGGCCGATCGACCCGGTCACTGCTGTTTCCTGTCCTGGACCCACAGTGGTGGAATGAACTCCCCACTGACGTCAGGACAGCAAAGTTGCTGCCCATTTTCATCAGGCTGAAGACTCGCCTCTTCAAGAAGTACTACCCTGAGACTTCCACTTATTGTATCCGTATTAGTTTGTTTCTGCTCTGGTTTATGCTCTTAGATGCTTGTTTGAAAAAGGAGATGCACTTATGACTTCTGGTGCCTAGTTCTCTTGAATACACTTATTGTAAGTCTCTTTGGATAAAAGCGTCTGCTAAATGACTAATGTAACAACACCACACTGTAAAATCTCTTCAAGGAACTCAGCCGTTATCATAAACTCCTGGCCTGATCCAAGTCAACTTAATTCATCTAGTTCTCACATTCATTTCAGAATTCATAAATGAGCCGACAAACTCAAATGTAGTTGTTTAGAAACACTGCTAGGTTATCGGCGTTGTAGTTTAAAATTCTCCAGATCACCTTATTTTTCCAGGAAAGAGTTTCATAACAAAAGCTGTTACGTGTGTTTAGGGTCTCACATGAGTCATGTAGTCTTCGCGCTGATCAAAATGAAAGCAGAGCCAACCATGATGGGTAACTATGTCAACCACTCCTGCTCTCTTTTAAAATGCAGTAACAAGGAAAATACGTAACAACTACATGATGTAGTTCATGCATCATGAGGGATCAGAGATGACACTACTTGTGTAGACTAGACAGAGAAATGTACAGATTAGAGTACTTTCAAAGCAAAATAGTAGATGTGAAAATTCTGTTTGACAAAGACAAATGGTAAGACATTAAGGTAAAATGTTACTTTACTTTCTGTTTGTTGAAATATCTGCTTCTCTCCACTTCCTCCTTTTTACAGTGCAGCACTTACTGCAGTTTGGTTACAGAGAAGATTCAAACTGTAACATTTTAGCATTATTTGTTTATATACTCGGGCATCAAGACTATCGCTTGTTTTTTAAATACATGTTTAGTTCATCTGTGATTTTGGAAAAGCCGCTGTTTTCCCTTGAAGGCAGCTTACAATACATGAGTAAATGAAAGCAATAGTTAAATATCTACCATATACAAGTAATTTGTATGTTTGCAGTTAGTGTATGTGTGTGTGCAAACAGCCATTAACCAGGGGGAAAGTGCTGATAGCTAATTAGCTAGCAGCATATTGAACAGCTTAAAAATGAACCTGCAAAAGGTACCAAATGTATATGTGTTTTCTGCAAAAACAGATGAATTTATCATGTCGTATGATCTTTGATGAAATGCCGACACACTGGTCACCTGCTGTTGGGTTTCTCCAGCTGCACCAATCTCAGAACCCCTCAGCTATCGGATTGACGACAGATAAGCCTCTGCGGCCAAGGGGCTATATTTTTGGGGTTGCGGTGTAGCCAGCAAATAGCCGGGCCAAGATTTCCTTTTTGTGCGTTGCTCATTGTTTAAAGTCTCGTATCCGCAACTGGAGGTGAGAGACAACGTGTACAACTTTTATGGAGTGGTCTGCTGGGGCAGCAGCATCTTGCCAGCCGACAGGAACAGACTAAACAAACTCATCAAGAAGGCCAGCGGTGTGCTGGGGTGTCCACTGGAAGTGGTGGGAGACAGGACGATGATGGCTAAGCTATCATCCCTGATGGACAACACCTCCCACCCCATGCAGGACGCCCTGCCAGCTCTGTGCCGCTCCTTCACCCCCCGGCTGATTCACCCCCGGTGTGAAGGAGAGGTACTGCAGGTCCTTCCTTCCTGCTGCTGTCAGGCTGCACATCCAGCTGTGCTCCCAGTAGACCACACAACTCTAAAAATGTGTGCAATGTAAATGCACTGTGCAATAAAAAATGATTGTCTGTATATATAATTTTTGTTATATTTACTTGTGTATTTTCACTTAGTTAATATTCTTTACTACTTATAATAATTGTTTTGATTGTTTTTTTTTTTTTTACTATGTCTCTTGTGTGCACTGTCCACTTTGCTGCTGTAATCCTGTACATTTCACCACTGCGGGACTAATAAAGGATTATCTTATCTTAACTTATCTCTTCCAGTGGATGCTGTGACTGGTCTGGTGTTCACAGACAGCTGAAGTTGTCTTTTTTCCAGTGTTCATTCAGTTTCTTGTGCAGGGTCCTCGCTGTTTCACTGAAACCATATAAATCAATAAATGTTCCTCATCTTAGTTCATCCAAAAGGTACAATGTTGTTTATTCTTCACAACAGGCTTCTCTCCTACAAACCATTGATCCAAATAATGTGAGTAAAGACTGTGCAGGACACATTTGCTCATTCCAGGAGAGGAGTAGTTGTGGTGTTTTGCAGCTTCCAGCAGAGCAGACCGCTGTTAAAAACACAACTGACTGGCCGTGAGGAGGGCAGTGATCCAGGCCATACTGTGAGGTTTTTCCATGTCATCACTACTGCCATATGTTCCTGTGACCTCTGTTAGCTCCAGCCCAGTGTGCTGCAGACACTGATCTGAGTACCCAGCGTGATGGCCATTAGAATACATGCAGCACCACTGCAGCTGCCTTGGTAGACAGCACAACATTCATTATCGTCATCGTCAGGACTGTGTGGGTATTGCTTGACTATTCTTTCTTTTTTTTATCCTTAAAGTGATCCCTGAAAACGTTTGCAACTCAAAACCGATTGGATCCTTGACTTAATTTATTTCGTCTTCATGGTTTGAAATTAAGACTTTTTTGTATAGCACCTTTCAACATCAGGGTAATTACAGATGTTTAACATGAGACAGAAACGGTATTAAGACAACTTTATAAAAGGACACATATAAACATGATTTTAAAAGAATAGTTCAGCATGTGTGCGATAGTCTGTGTGTCAAGTACTGAGCTGGAGGATGTGGTGCTTCCATCTGGCAGCCACACCTTTGTGCTGGTCAGTAATTCCAAGAACCACGCTGTCTCATTCAATGTGTGAATGTTACATTGCAGACATCTTAACAACTTATATGTCAGTATATTTTGCTGCCATTGTTCCAGAAATTGCAAAATAAAAGTGAGTGTCTTCAGTTGTGCTAGAGGCTCTGAGAGGTTGTAATAAATAAGTTTAGCATGCTAATAAACTTTCAAAATGACAATGCTAACATGTTGATGTAAAGCAGGTACACCTGAACAATAATAATAATTCAAAGGCCTCATTGTTCCTACCGGTTTACTGGCATACTTGTCATTCTTGACTGTGAGTAATGCATTGCATAGTTAATATGTGGAATAAGGAATTTGGTAAAACTCGCACAAACCTTGTATTTTACCTGGATTTTTGCCTAATCCATTTTTTTTTTTTTACGTATTTGTATTATTTGAAATACATACATACATACATGTATATCAAGTCAAACTGGATTATTTTCATGAACATGTTTAAACAAGTGTCAGAATGCAGTGGGGCTCTCTGGTGGGGAGGGTCTGCCCACATCCCCCCAAAAGCTTCGGGCCGCCCCTGACCAGGGACCATCAGACAGGATTAAAATCACTGCCGACACCAGCAGCAGTTGACCGTTCTGACGATCGGATGCTGCGCTTATTCCCCAAACCTGCCCAGCACCGAATAAAGCCGCGCGTCCACCGTCTCACATCGGGCATTTCCCTTCGCGTTCTTCCACGTATATCCGCCTGTTTGCGACATGCCCGGACGCTGACGGGCTGCGGGACACAATGAGGATTGGCCTCGGTGTCATCCCGCAGCCCTGCCCGCTCGGGGCTTTCTGGCCTCAGTACGTTAGCTAGCTAACAGAGTCCTCTCCGCCCAGAAGCCGTTGGATTGTTTGGGCATGCTAAAGGATTTCATGAACAACAAACGTGAGCTTTCTCTCGGCTCGACTGGAACAATGCGAAAGGAAGTGCGGCGGCTGATCGACAGGGTTTCCGAAAACTACGAGCAGGAGATGCTCCACAGGGCGTCTGCTGGTATCTGTCAGCTCCGAGAGAAGAGGAGTTTACTGATGCTACTATAGGATGCTTAGAAGATCAGCAGTGAACCACGTCTGATGGTGATGAGTCCACAGTCTATGCTGCCACAAGGATTGGGGATTTATTGGCGAACGGCACGAGCTTCTGGGGGGAAAGCGGAGACATGCACAAGAAAAAAGAGGAAAGGGAATTCCAGGTTCTTTAAAAGCTTTGTTTTTTAAAGGGAGTCCGCAACAGGCTTCTCAAAACACCTTCATCAAAGATTTGGAGCGTTGACACTGTTGCCAACACACCGTGAGGTGCTGCTGCCTTTCTGATGTACTGACTGTTCCAGCTATTCATTCCTCTGTGGGGACAGCCAGGTGGACGCTGGAGCCCACATTACATGAGGACTGCAACAGACGGCCTGCCTGCCACAGTGTGGAGGACAAGCAGCCCACAGCAGGTAAGCAGCACAAGATGACTACCATTTTGTATCGCCTCCAGGTCCCTGGTCTGCAGAATGTCATGCTGCCTTCCTCTGCATTCCTGCATGCCATTAGTTTGGGTGGGATGAGCGCTTGCTGAGCCCTGGTTGCAGCCTCCTGTAGGCCCAGACCACCACAGCTCACTAGGACTGCTGCCTTTTGTCTGCCTCTACAGGGTGATCATCTGGCATTATGCAGAGCCAATCCTAATGTCTGATGCATACAGCAGCATGCAGTGGTCAGTGTGGCACATGAGAAATGATACAGGATTCCCCCAGCTGTAGGGCCTCGCTCAGCACTGGGACAACCAAGTGATTTAATAGCATTTGGTGTGATGTAGCCCCTAGAGAACACAGCGCCACCTCATGAATCATGAAGGAATACGGGCTGTGTGTGTGTGTGTGTGTGTGTGTGTGTGTGTGTGTGTGTGTGTGT